GTGCCCAGCTGCTGGGCTTGATGCAGCACGTGCAACAGGTGAAGAGAAAAAAAAAAAGCATCCACCCGTGCGTTTCAGAGTGGCGGTGGACTCGGAACTAATTTGGAGCCACGCGATGATGACACAGGGACGAGAATGCATCCATCGCGCCCTCGCATCATTGCGTCCTCCCGAGGCTCTTGGGTGCCCGGCGGGTTCTTCCCGCTCAACCACACTTTGTGGCGAGAGCAGACGCGGCTAGTGAACGAGCATATACTTGTTCTCGCCAAGCTCAGCGAAAACGATGATGATGATGCAAGTGGTATGGAGCAGCTCCCGGAGGCTTCGGATGGTCATGTTCGCCCATCGTCCTTTCAGCCTCCCGGAAACTGTATGATTCTGAAGCGATGCCGGTGCAGCATACTCCGCCGCCAGAGATCCCTAGCTGCCGCATGCAAATGCCGTCATCCTTGCAAACATCAGCCCATATTGCTGATCTGGGGTCAAGTTTTTTTCGAAAGGTTTTCGAATTTTCGAAGCTTGCCCGCCCTAGCCGCGAGAGAAATATCTTTAGTTTATCTTCGCAAGAATCCCATGGCTACCCTACAAGGCTAAGATCATCGGCGCTTACGGCAGCCTCAGAGCACGACGACTCATGCAGGTTTTCGTCAAGATAATGCCGTGCTGCCAGGGGTATCAACACGTGGCAACCGATTCCTTTTGCCTAGCGGCCGCTGGCGTGAACGATGCAGCATTGTGTAACACCGAGGCATTTTGCCCATCCATTAACCGCTTGGAGAAGTGTGGACAATAACAATGCGACGGTCCTCTGAACGTAGCCTCTCAGCGCTACTGCAGTCACGCGAGGATCGCATTGCAGCAGTCAAACATTACCCGAGCATTAATGAGATTTGATAGAGGACCGTCAGCGTGGCTTTCGAAACGCTCTCTCTGACACGCATCTCATTTGCAGCCCGTTTCAACAGGGGCTGCACACTGCCATGTGCCACGCCGATATTGAGCGCATCCCCTCACTCTCTGATCTCTCAATACCTTATCTCCACACATATTGCCTCTGGTTATTGGACTTGATATTTTCTTCGACGCCTATGGTTTCTGAGGTGGGGCGCTGGCAGCACGTTCTGCCCGGTGTAGAAATGTCGGTGAGACGGCGAGCGTCGGTGGACGATAAGATACAAGGCGGTCGCGGATGGCATCTTCGATCGTGACAGGTCACGAGCTGCTCTGGATCTTCAGTAGTTTGTGGAGACGGAACCAGACCTTGGGTCCATGGACGAGGCGGGAACCGGACGCTTGATAGCGCCAGCTAGTGTGTTTGTGAGAGAAGGTTATCATCAATTGCAGTAGGATGAGGCTCCGTGGCGCGAGGTGGGAGAGGATCTCGACCCTGGTGGCTTCTCGAAGAACATCGGAAAATTCCACCCGAGGTTTTGCAGTCATTCAGAGGGTGGCGTTCCTCAATGACAGAGACTGTTAAGCATAAACTGCAAAAAGCGAGATTGTTTGCTCCCTCTGACTCGAGTCGGCCACTTTGCGTAAAAAGGTCGGACGTCTGTCGCCGAAGGACCCACGACGCCCTTGGCCTTGAATCTCCACGATGTTGTCCATGGTGGCCTTCGTCTCGAGGAAGGTAGTGCGTAATAAGAGATGGGTTCTGGGAATTAATGTTCAATGCTGTTTCTGAATCTCGGGTGATGCGCGCGACGATCCAGGTCCAATTCCAGGTTCCAGGTCGAGCTCCAAGGGTTTGGGTCGCAATACGCCTGCTATTGCGAAATGAGTAAAGGGGTTAGTGGGTTCTCACTTTCTGCTCGGCTTTCCTCTCCTAGTGTATAGGTAGTAGGTGATGCGCCAAAGGGAGCTTCTAGGGCGGCTGCCCTTGCCCAACGTCAAACCGGTACTATACGGCCTTTGCAATCATCGAGGCAGCAACAGTCGTGATGAAGCAGAGGAAGAAAACGCTCAAACAGTACATGTTGTGGTTCCGCGAGAGGATGGTAAAGTGCGTTGAATGGTGTTGGCGGTTAGCAACGAAGGAGCTAGAAGATTGCATTGAGCCCGTGACAATAGTACTGCTAGCGACACAAAAGCATTTGCGAGTGACGCGGTATTGTCAGTAGGACGTACCGCCTTCTCAAGGTGTTCTCAAGGTGAGTGAATTGTTAGTCGAATACAATGAGTCCTCTCCTCGGTCTCCGCATGGCCCTATAGTTTCTGCCATCAAGCCCAGGCTGTGGACACAGAGCTCCACTATTCTCCATTTCGTTCCTGCAGTTTAAACAGACAAGACTCGTCCGTCGCAACCGCCTCATGTCTTAACAGCTGCTCATAATGTTAACCTCATTCTTATATATCATCCATGCCCCGCACAGCAGTCTGCACGGGCTATACGCAGAGCACTAATATACTTCCCAAATTCACGAACCAAAGACTCTGAGATCTGTACAGGAGATTGGTGCTCATACGTCGCCACCTTCGCATCGTCTTGGTCCTCGTCCGAGATCCAGGGTAGCCTGACAGCACAGCGCAGACCTGAGATTGGATACCCTACCGAATCGTCGGCAAGCGAAGGGAGCCGGGCAGTAAAGTAAACAAATTGTTCTGACAACATCGTTGAGGGATCAACTGGTTCAGTACGGGCGTGATGACACTAAGCAGATGCGGACTTTCATGAGCAACGTGAAAGAGAAGCTCGGGAAGCTAATGGTACTCAGCGTGTTACGATGACACAATTGAGCCAACGATTTGCATGCGGTTTTGGACACAAGAGGCATTTTGGAGATCGGCCTCAGGCAACTCGTGGGCAACTGACGAGGCATTCCAGTTCCGCGCCTCACTGCTGGGTTGAGATGAGAATTCTTGCGAAGGGGCATAATGCGCAAGAGTCGGAAGCATGGATACTGGTTCTCCGTGACAAGGATGGGTACACCTCGAATGGACGATGGCGGGTCGTCTAACAGCATGACTACCACCTAGTCTTTGAAGTTCATATGCTCGATACAGAAACGCTCTGTAACATATGTATTCATGTCCCGTTCTACACAAGGAGTCGGTAAGTCTTCAGTCTCAACATATCGTGGCATTTGTCTACAGAAGTCAATATCCTCGTACACGAGACTTTCGGCTAAGTTCTGTATCACGTCGAAAGGTTTCTCGATCGAGCTTCTAATCATACTATGGATTAGTTCACTTTCAACTCGTTCCGAATCTCTTATTCCTGACGTTCGATCGTAGTTTGTACTCCTGCGCAAGGACCAATACTGTTGGCTGCGTAGAGCGCGTAGAAGTACACATGATTCAGGTATCAGGGGCTCGAGGATGTTCAGGACTCGATTGAAAACCGGACGGTTCGTATCCTTTCTCTTTTGTTTGGTTAATTGGATACGTAAGTCGAGCGTCTATAAGTATCGGGTCGATATGATAAGCTACGCATCAAGTTTTCAAACCACGACTCCGCAGCCAGTGGCATGGCCGGCGATATGCTTTTGACATGATGACATCAAATGAGATGAACCTGAGCGTGTATAGAATCTCTGTCATTGATTGCGTCGAACCCACATACGATCGTAGTGGGCCGGCTCGGCGTTCGATGTGGTTGGGACTCTCCGCTTCTGGAAACTATGTCGGGGCAAGAATGCGAAAGCTATGCTACTGGTTCTTACAAATACAGACCACAAGCACCCAAAATCTTCATGCAAATTCGGAACATGTGTTATGAATACGTTGAGAGCCACCCCTCTTGTATTGCTCATAAACCCCATATACGAGCCCATAGTATATAGCTCAGTCTGTGACCAAAAAGTTTATATGCAAGCTTTCTGTTAGCCCAATATGAATAGAATGAAAGAGGCACTGGTGCGCTGTCTACTAGGAGCTCAAGTCGGTGTCGATGTACGTGCAAACGGTTGCGAACTAAGCAACCGTGGTTTGTGCGACATGACGTAATTATGGCCACTTTAATTATCTTGAGTTTCTTCATTACGCCAATGTAGTATCTGTTCTTTTACATCCACATCTACGAAAGGACTGTACATAGAAGCTATAACTTTTCATTCCTAACACACCACAGAAAAACACACGCGGATATCGTAAGCATCAACAACCCAACAGCTTGGACGCCATCACAAACATTCGATACGTCGAACCTATTCGACATTTGCATTCTTAAACTGCGACAAAAGCGCCTCCCCAACTCAGACACCAGCTTATGTCATGTTACTATTCTGGCCAATATATCGGTTTAATACAAGAGCTGGATATCCTTGGAGCTTACTCCAGCTATGTGCAATTTTTGAGAGCGCATCGTGAAGACGACAACGCCTCTGTATTCTAAGAGCCATCCTCGAGGTAGTGCGTGTAACCCTGCGTTCAATGAGACCCCACACTCTACCCTTCCAAGATTCTGACCTAGACCGGCTAGGTTGGGTAGCGTGGGCTTATCCTATCCAAGGAAATTTTATTCGATACTATAATACATTGCCAACCCAATTGTCAGGCTCATCTTCAGATCACTCCTGCTGCGACATGTGTTAGGAAGTTGTAATCCGTGTAATCGATATGTACAAACGCGCGATTAACGTACGGTACACTCTCTTTATCGTTATTAGCTCATATATCTTTGGAAGGGAAGAGAGGGACGAGAACTTACCAAGCACATACTGCATCACTATTGTTGGTGTTGGCACACTGGCCAACACTAGCAGGCGTTCTGACCGCTGCATTTTGGTGGGCTTTTCTTATCCTTCCCTCGAATGTTTTCCTGCTCGGCGACTTGTTTTGGTCGTTGCTCCTCTGCCGCCTCACCCAGTCTCTTCATGATATCTTCGAAGGTTGGCGGGTTGCCATTCATTCTAGATATGAATTCCAATGACGGGTAGTCGGACTTTCAGGCGCAAACTATATATGGCGATCAACGTTTTCGAGAAGTGAAGGAGCCGGGGACCTTCAGGCATGAGCCAAGGGTGGCGTTCGGCATGGTCGAGAGGGGGAGTTCAGATGGATCACCGTGCTCTCTTGATGAATGCGACTGATTCAGCATTGGGTCTCCGCAGTGTGTTGTGAAAAGAGTCAAGGTATTCGTACTCTATTTCGAACAGAGAGTTGGGCGAAAGATTGATATAGCTCCGCTTCTTTAGCGGCAGACCCAAGGCCATCCTGGCTATTGGGTTGGTCGATTCTGTTGTCATACTTTCGTCGTTATCGCACAGCATGAAGAAACCCCGCTGGCGCCCAGGTTTCTTTTCCTCGACTGATATGTCATGGAAGGTGGTGAATTGCCGGAAAGAGACGATGTATTTGCCATGATATCTTCTCTTCCCAAGAACAACGACAAGGTGGTTTTCAACCTCGCTCTGGTTCGGATGCTTCCTGATGATGGAGGATGATGGGATTGGTGTGGCTGGTAGGTAGAGGATGTCTCCATCCTCCAACCTTTCGAATGATGGTAGTCCTGCCTTGCGCCGAGGTGGCGGTGATTCGCTATGCCAGTCTGACGAAGAGGAAGAGAAAGAGGAACAGGAAGAACGAGAAGAGTCATCTGATGAAGAGGAGGATCGTCTTCGCTTGATCAGTGGTGGTAACGTCGGCGTCGTAGGTTGGGTAGTGTGAGGAGAAGGAGAGGTGTCTAGCGAGACCTTGGGCGGCTGCCTCCAGGCTGCCATCACTCTTGAAGAGTATACCATGATGGCGGTGATATGGATGGTGTTGATGAGTTTTGTTGACAGGCACCAAACTTATAAAGCGATAGTAGAATTATGGGTACTTGACGGCACACATTAGAAGACGTTCGATCTGGTGATGGGATGATAGAGGAAGAGAAAGATGAGAGGACGACTTCTTAAGGAGAAATCTCTGTCGATCAAAATCCAAAGAGTTTTGTTGCGATGAACGGCATGCGTTTCCATTGGATATGAAGATGTGGTACTTACTACCAACATCACGACTCCTTCAAAGCACTTCCTTGGGCTGGAATGCTCTATCAGGTCGCAGTGACGTTGGATGTATCGCGACATCGCAGAGGAAGGTACTGTTGAACGTGTCAGAAAGCCTTGCTTATCTTGAAACAACCCTGTTAGTGAAAAAGGTACCGGTGTACCGTCGTCAGTTGGCGTGGAGTTTGGTCACAAGCCGCATGAAGCCCCACTGCGACAACTGCGGTTAGCGGCAAGATACCAGACTTTTGCTCCGATAGCTGAGCATAGAAAACGAGAGAAGCATGATGCTGGAACAGGATTCTGAACAGTGCAGCCAGTATTGAAGCAATCAAACTGGTATTTGCGTTGCTGAAAACTGGCAACGGCTTGGAGAGATTAGGACTTGACCAACTTCATCCATCAGTTCCTGCCACGAGTAATGAACCGTCACTTCTCGGAGAACGGTAGAGGAGCCGCAGACATGGAAGTATATGATGAGAGATCATGGCTGACGGAAACTGCGACCATTAGGTGAAGAGAACCCGCAGGACCCAGTATCGATGGCAGTAAGCATAAGATGCTAGAAGACATGGTTGAGAAATGTAAACCCACCGGTTTAGCTAGGATTACTTTGTGTGGCTGTTAAGTCCAAAGTATCTTCCCCATATGACTGCCACATAATAGGGACTCGGAGCCAAGCTCCGAGACGCGCACCCATAGTACTACCACGACTAGTCCGAGAAACATCTGGGTGGTGATCTCTCTTATAACTCTTACGTACTACCAGTGTGCTTGAGGCGAGGCAGACACGGAAACACGGTAACCTATTTTCACATCCGTTCACGGTTGCAACTAGTGAGCAAGAGCTAGCGATATGATGTTTGTTTACGCAAATGAACAATACTTCCACTTTGAGATGTCTACTACGACGACTACGCATAGCACCTAGCTAGAGTTTTTTCGAAGAAGGCCAAAGCCGATGTTTATTCTGAACGACCAAGCGTTAGGTGAGAAGTATATGTTTCGCTCTCTTACTTTGTATCTCTACTCTCTTCTCTCTAGCCTCGGATGCTAGACAACCAAGAATCACTTTGATAGGAGGCGCGACTACATGCGTCATGTATCTGTATCAAGTCGAAAGAAATTTTGGTATTCCAATCTAGGCAACTATTCTTCGATGCTAAGGTCGAGGTCCCCAAACACGGCAATGCTAGAATCCACAGCTACGTAGTTACCTCTAAAAGGATCAGGACACAATTGTTTATAAGTATTATAGCGACGCGAAGGATGTTAGCTACTAAAACAAAGTATCAAAGCGCAAAAAAAGAAGGTATAGTGACAAGAGTGGGATCTACTATATGTTAGCAGCTGTCACAACCCAGTACTGTGTGGTAGAACGTACTCGAACCCACGCAGATTTCTCTACTAGCACCTGAAGCTAGCGCCTTAGACCGCTCGGCCATCTTGAATTCAGTTAGTACATATGTTGCAAACCAGTTGGAATGACTGGGAGTACGAACCTTGCCTGGATGTGTTGTATGACTAAGCCGCAAAACTTTAACATTATATAGATTGTACAAATGACAGCGTACGAGTTTGGGGTGGATTGAGCCCGCAAACCATCTTTCTTAGTGATGCAGGCACTGTGGTGCACGATATGACTGTATGAAGGTGGGGGTGGTGGGGTACGCGGCACGATAGAGCGAATTTATTTGCGGTATGTGAACATCCACTTCAACCACGGATTATTGCATAATGCGCTTGCCTCTTTAGGCTGGTTCTAAAATTCGATACAACTGCGTTCTTGATGCTATACTATTGTCTGCGATCCAACGCATGTAGCGAGGGTACGTAACGTGTACCGCAAGAAAAAGCTGTCGAAGGTATCTTATGGCTGAATTGCCTAAGTACTTAAGTACCGACTTCTTTACGTGGATGACGTCCAAAGGCACATATCGCTTCGTCGTTCACTGTGGTCTAGAATCCTCATTAAATTCGGCGCTTTCGGGGTAAATTGTAAGGGGATCTGCCCATGTAGTGCTTCAATGTTGACTTTGCCGCTAGGTTCGCAGAACCGCGAACATGAGCTGGCCCCTTCTTGTTGAAATACTCATAGTAACGGTGACTGAATAGTTTGCTGATATATCTGGCGTTGAGGGCAAGCTCTACAGTAGGAGCAGAGCATCGCAGATCGACTGAGGACGGAATGGAAGGTAGTAGTGTTCTTGAAGTCTATGCAATTACGCCTACAAACACCCAAATGCAATCTACAGCCACATGTATCTCATCTATGCAACATCTCACCACCATTGCCCAACTATCTTTTGGTGTATTTGGCTATCCCTATCCGATTTACAAAGCAGCGACCATCAGTCCGGCAACAACAGCGGCAAGGCCGAACTCGACCTTGCCAGCGGCACCAGTGGCCTCTGGTAGACCAGAAGAGCCAGTCGCAGTGCCAGCCGTGGGCTTAGGTCCGCCAGAGGCAACAGGAACAGTGCCGTTTCCGTTTCCGTGTCCGCTCGAGCCGGTAGGGTAGAGAGAGACGAGGGTAGAGCCCGAGGTGCCGGTGGGCTTGTGAGAGGAACCAGTAGCAGTCTTTGAGCCAGAAGCAGAGATAGCAGTTGCTGTTACACATTCTGTCAGCCTACATTCATCCAGCAAGCCCTATTCCTCGGTCCGAATCGTTGCAACTGGTGTTCACTGCAAAAGGGAACACTTACAAACGTCGACGTCCGCGTCGTTGCAAATTTCCGCGATCGCAGCCATAGCGTCCTTAGCATCGTCACCGCAGATTTCCGCTACCTTCTCGCTCAGGTCCTTGGCCTTGCAGACGGCCTTGATGTCAGATGGGTCTTCATATTGGTTGACAGCGCCGAGGAGGCAGCCAGGGGGGCTGGCCATGGCGAATTGAGCGAGCGCAAAGAAAGTCGCGGCGAAAACGGTACGTCCGAGCATATTAGCGGTTGAAGTAGGAGTGTTGGTGGGTATGAAAGGTTGGTTCGATTCGATTCGAGTCGTGGTAGAGACGGTGGATTTTATTAACGATAGTGTAGTCTAAAGAGTGACTGTAGGAGATCGATTCTGAAAGAATGAATGGACAACGAGGACGGTTGATGAGAAGAGAGGGAAGAGTAGAAGAGATGCCTGAGTCTCGACCTGATCCTCAAGGGGCTCGGCTCACACGGACGCTTGCCAAGCCAGTGTGCCGCTTACTTGGTGGGGTCGCCCTAAACATGCTAGTCAGGAACAACAAGTTTAGAAACACGTGCATGATTGGACGGGTTCCTGCAGTTTGTGTCAGTGCTACAAACGTGGTGCGCGTTGCTTGAAGTCGTGTGGGTGGGAGGTGACTTTTCAAACGGGTGGCTTGAAATCAACATTTGCACAAGGCTATTGAAGCGGATAGTCGAGGTCTGTTCCATACATCACTTGGCTCATCTGATGCTTAACACAATAATATACAAGAGAAGCTCGCCACTGCCTAGCCTTTGCTACAAGTATATGCCAATCTGGGGCGAGTGAGTGCAGAAAACGCATTACAAAGGTATACTCGCATAATAACCAAATGCTTCTTTTGCACCGCCCAGCATGCAGCCGAGAAACAATTTGCACTGGAGTCGAATTCTGAGTCGATCCGAGCAAAAGCACTTCCAAAACACCCCATGTGATGCAAGATGGTTTTGGAGATGACGTTTTATCCTTCCGTCAGATATCCAATCTGAGAAACAAGCACCGGCCAGCGGACTATCAAGGTCCACTCGCAATGCCATGATGCGCCGAGAACTCCGTCGCTAGGTATGATAAATGCGGTACAGTAATGAGACAGAAAGATGAGAGTCTGTGACGAGAGAGGGAGAGGCATGGAGGTCGGGTTCGTCGTTATAGAGAGCGTAAGGTTGTGGTGTCGAGATCATGAGGTATGGATTTGTGGTGGGCTATTGCCGTTTGGTCCAAGCATGGACGGAATGGGCTTACGGCGGGCCTTCCCTTGAGGGACGCGTGGCACACCTTGAATGACACGAGGCTCTTTCATGAGCGTGGGGTCGAGTTTTGCGGGGACTATCATCTTTGTTAGCATCATCGAGTGAAGGGATGCGTGTAACGTACTTCGGCTGATCACAGAACGATAATCGCCTGGAAAACGCGAATTTGGCGGAGTTGCGGACGCAGTGCGCCAAAGATGATCCGTTGTGTCGGACAGGAAGTCCACCTTCGATTTGTAGAAGAATGATGACTTTCCGCGGTTCCGCTTCGCCAAGATGACTTCATCAAACAGTTTGATGGTGGGATCGTCTGCAGACTTGCTCTCGCGTTCATGTATGAACTCATTGAAAGCTATTGCATGTTAGCATACGCCTAAGAAAGAGTAGGATGGCAACACGTACCTTGCGTCTGCTGTAGCGTTGTGATATACTGTACGTTCTCCGCTGGCAGACTCTTCACGAATTCGTCCATCTTGAATTGATATGTCATACCAGACTTTTTGCGTTCGCCAGTAGCCGGTATCAGATAACGCCGGTAGGTGTAGAATAGACTAGCAAAGCACCGCACGAAAGATGCACGCACTTGGTCGGGTCGGAAAGCCGTCGGGCAGACGATGCAGATCATATCCACGCATCTACCATGGGCGTATGTGCTACAACCTTCACGACATTAGAAAAGCAAATCACACTAAGCGAATCCGAAACTCACCGGTACAGCGATAGAGACCATCATCGGATTTTTCTTCGCATATCGAGCAAAGAGCTTTATCCTCGTGCGGTCTCCATTGCAGGCAATGACCCTCTTGCCATTGCATTGTTGCAGTGTTCCGTACTTGTTGCATAGCCATACCAGGCATAATCGTCGAAGCAGCCAGTGTTGACTGAGCATACACGGATGGGGCATACGAAGACCCCGCCTTGTACTCATGACTCAAAGACGATGTTGATGCGCTCGGCGCGTGGCCAAGGAACGGCTGAGAGGGGCGCCGAATTTGGGGTACACGTTCGAAACCAAACTAGTCACGTTAGTCAATGGACTACCACAATGAAGGGTGTGAAGCCAAACTTACCGATGAACTTCGCCGACTTGAAGTCTCGAAGTGGGCGGATCGCTTCTCGCGAAGATTGGCTTGGAGAGCATAACCAGAATCGCTTCGCGATATAGGGGTACTAGGCATGGGTGGAAAGACCGTCGAGACTGGGGAAACCTTGGGCGAAGGCGGCGATTGGTACGTCTTTATGGTGGTGGCTGTGGATGGTCGGTCGTTGCCACGGCTCGAAGCACTTGACTGCAGGAATGCGTTGTAAATCAAAGGCCTGGAACTAGGCGGTCCGACCACAGTTCCAAAAGACGTAGAATTTAGGCCGACATAGTTCTGGACGGTCGAAGGGTGTGCTCTGTATGAGAAGACACCGGGGTTCTCAGAGGCGAACGTATCGTACGGGAAAGCTTCTACAGCATAAGCTGGCGGTCCAGTAGGCACGCCGTATCGTATATGATGCGGCGCAGATTGTTGAAGTAGAGACATGAGCTTTCGTCGCTGTTGGCGTGGCAGCGATGGTGGTGGTGGACCGTTGGAGACTATTGAATCAGCATCCAGGTCGACGAGAACATAGTCGTCGTCAGGGTAATCAGCGGGCTCATAACGACGCTCGATACCCACGATATATGGGCATGGCGCCTCTATCGTCTGTACCAGACGGGCAGGCAAAATAGGAATGAAGACACCAGCCCATTGGAAGGGATACAGTAGGTTGGTTATCGCCATACTAGCCAAATGTAGCATAGCCGTGTGAGAGGAAAGGAGAATGATTCTGGCTTCCGAGAGCACATACTCAAACAAGGTGATGATGTTGGGTATGGACATGCATCGGAAGAGAGCATAGATATCGATGTTTCGGGAGCCGGGGAGCTCGTTGACTGCCTCCTTTCGAGCGTACATGCGAAGCTCGCGAACTGCTAGTTCAACTTGCGTAATGGAGGTGATCGGACTAAGAGCCTCTGCACACAGATTGACGACGTATCGCTCAAGCGGCTGCCACATACCTACTCGCGGTGAGCTGGCGGGGACTCGGAGGATGGCACCCGTGGTCATTGGGACAACGACGGCCTTTAGCCACTCCTTCCAGAAGGGCGTTAGACTCGCATCTCGACCCATGACACCATAAGCACGGGGTATCCAGAGTCCAGTGTCTCCGTCAGTAAGACCCTCGATCTTGGATGCTGCACCATGCCTCACTGGGCGAAGCAGATCGGTCATCAACTGGATTTTTTCCTCTACAGCGCCAATCTGGTCGTCCAGATCTTCGCGCTCCTCGGAGTCAGGAGCCACGGATGGAAGCTTAGTTAGGAGTTGGGATAGTTTCGCGCGTTCCAATGCTAGACGTTCACCCAGGCTGCTCGCCAATTCTCGCTCTTCTGGGTTCATGTGCAAGTTTCTCCATTCTTCACATTGGCGCTCAAGACCCTCTGCAGCTGTGGCGTTCAGTGGCAGCCAAACGATGATGCAGATGCCATAAAGTTTGGAGCCGTCTCCGTTGGTCATGGCAAATCCATGCCATTGGCTCTTTGGTCGCTCGTCAGATGAGACGACACTAACATCGTTGGGAAATGCAAACATGGGCACGTAGTCAGGAAATGGGTTCCGCCTCTTAAGTTCCTCGACCATGTTCCGGGGTGGATAACGGTCCAGCAGCACAGGCTCGTAGCGACGGAGAAGAGGATGCATGTCTGGATCAGGCTGAAAGGGCTGTGGTACTGGTATGACAGAGTTGTACCCGGACATGCGCTTCGACGTTCGAATTGAGGCTGTATGCACGTCAGTCAAGATCGAGGAAAAAGCAAACGACCCATGTCAGGTCCAAGGCCCAGCCCTGCAAAGATCCTGGTCGGGCGTGAATGTGGAAGGTGACTTACATTGTCTCGCTGTCGACGACTGGCGCTTCAGGCTGCTCTGCATGGTGGAGATACGGCGACGGATGCTTCCAACACCGGACCTGAGATTTCCAACGCCGTCGTCATTGTTGGCTTGTGACACGCGCTGTGGTCTGGGACGCGGCCTTGTGGGGGTGGAGCGGGCCTGTTGCGCAACACCAGCAGTAAACTGTATTTCCTCGAGAAAGGTATCCCGCTCGGAAGCGAACTTGCGCAGTGCAATGTCGAATTCCTGGTCGCTGAGGCCAGAGCCGCCAAGCTGCAGGCCCTTGATGGTGGCGCTGCTACGATTGCTTGCAGTCTGCTTGGAATCGGAGCCAATGCCGACGATTGTACCATTGGACTGGCGGTTTTCGCTGAATCGGTTCGCAGACCTCCGTCGAGTGGTGTCAGCATTGGACAGGCCGTCCTGGGAGGTTGGGCGGATTGAGTCTGTCTCGAGGGCGCGGTCCTCCTCGATGGTCTCGTCGACCGGGGGTTGTGCAAGCGGCGAGGTTACTATGCCATTGTTCTGGGTGCGCTCGTCGTAGACCTGCGAGGACTCGATGCCAGATATGAAGAAATAGTCGGCCAGCGGGGTGGACGACTGGTCGGCCGTGGACGAGGGAGCGGGCGCCATGTTAGGTCGTGGGCATAGGATATCCAAAAAAGATGGGCAATCAAAGAGCGTCGTGGGGTGCGCGGGCGCGGCGTGTAGGACGTCGAGTCGGCGTGTGTCTCTAGGTCATTGGAGATTGGACGCCAGCTCCAACGGTGGTTTGTGATGGGGCAGCGTACGGCTTATGCACGGCAGAGGCAGAGCGTGTGCGACGGGGACAGAGAAAGCGGTTGCACGGGCGGCGGCCTGGCAGCGAAACGAGCGGGGGAGCTTAGCCGGAAGCTGCGACTGGGCAGAGTGGTCGCGAACTGGTGTCGCAGAGCGTCTTGTATAGCCAACTGTTGCTTGTTTGCGGGCGAAAAGAGTGAATGGGGAGAGGGTTGGCGGAGAAGGGTTCAGTGCACACTGCGCTCGGTCACAGGCGATTCAAATGGACAGGCTCCGGCCTGTTCGAGCAACTAACCCACATGCACCCTCGTCGCAGGGCTCACACCCGCTTGCGCTCTTATCGCTCGCAGAAGACAGTCTAGCGCTTAACAGCTCCCGCGTCGACTGCCCCTCGGCCTGGACCGGACTGCTGCACCTCGCAACAAGCTCGACCTGTCAGCGTTGCCGGCGGAGAGGCGAGGCTGACGATGCAAGGCACCCGCGCACTCCAAAGTGTATTTGCGCCCAGCGTTTGGATCCAATGTCGCCATCCGTGGTACTCTCGCCGTCGCGCCCCATGGACATGCTGCATCCAGCACAGGCATATCCGTCGCTGTGCCGTCGTCCCATGTCGCCCTGTTAGACCCTGTCCTCGGAAAGCACGACCAGGGGGCTGCGCATGGATTGGGAAGGCACGGCCTGGGGCCTATCCGCTTTGGGACGGCGCGCGATTGGCAGAGGGCTGAAGTGGGATTGGCTGCGGGCCAAGCACTGGCTGTCGGCATGGCAGCATTGCGCGTTCAGGGGTCGTCAAATGGCTGCTGGCGACCAACACGACTGTTATTAGGCCACAAACACTGGTGGTGTGCGTCCAATTTGCATGTGTTTCACCTTCGGCGTACAGCACGCATACACGGCATCGCACTCTGCCCAGGAATAGGGGCACACATGCTGTGTACCCTATACGATCCCATACTACGGTTCACTGCCTGCACTGCACATCTTCAACCTCCGAAACAAAGAAATTCAAATGCCCCACAACCACCTGCAAACGTCCGAACATTTCTCTAAACGCCCATGGCATCATCTACTGTACCTGTCAACAGCATGCTGCACTCCTCACTGCCAACAAACACTCTTACAATCGCCGCCATGCCTTGTCTTGTCTTGCCTTGCCTCGTCTCGCCATGCATGTGCATAGATAGCTGCCGTACGCCAGCCCGGCATCGTATGCTCTGACCACCATCTAAACCGTTGCCGTTTCAACTCTGCTTGCCGGACTGTACAAAACGGTGCATGTCTTCCTACGGGACATGGTGCCGCATATGTCTTGACTACCGTGCTCGAGCTGCGCATCCGTCCAGCCAGAGACATATGTAGGATATGCACATGTCGATCCCGCTGTGGATAGCCGATTCCGACACAAAGTCCTCAACCGTCACTGCTTGTGCGAGCGCGTTTAATCTGACAGCTGCAGCCACCTCGAACAAGTCAGTCAGTGCTCTCCCAACTTTCGTATCTCACAATTGAATGCATACTTGGTGGCGTGATGATCAAACATATCAAAAGCCCACATTTGACCGAGATAAGATGACACCTCTGCGATCGCCCGACCCTCGAGCAGTTCGTGAGATTGTCATGTCCAGTTCCCGTGTCTGTCGACTCGTCGTACCAGGATTAGTGACAGCGTCTGGGGTACCCTGCTCTCTCTGCCGTGCTTCACCAAATTCTCATGTTGATTCCCCATCGGCCTTGTCGGACTTCATCAGAGATGATCGCTTTATCGCTCCATCTGCTTGTTGCATTGGAGGTCAATGCTGCAAGTCTATAATTGCTTTCTTAGGAGAATTGTTTCCGTGGTTCTGACGAAATCGATGGCTTGATCATCGACGCTGCCCTTGCTTTTCCGTACGCTTCGCCTGGCGATCGTCCAAGAGATCCTCCTCCGCATTCCGGCTGTCTAATTCGAAATACCCATGTACTGTGTAACATCACTCTGGAGGTGGATCGTTATTACAAATTACCAACAGATTCTTCGCAAATCCCCACACCTCTGTTACGGACATGTATATAGCCGGTGGCAGACAAACATGCTGTGGTACGCATATAAATATAGTCCAAAGTTTACTTTTCACTGTTCGGCGATGTTGTTTGGACCACTCGACTCATGTTGACATCACGCACGGAGCAGGTTCCGAATGTCCAGGTGGCTTCAGCAAGTGCAAGGCTAGTTCGATACTGCCAGACCAAGCGCTTGGAACTGCAGGTACCGGCGCCAGAACCTTCGGTCGGAGATATACAATCCCTAGCGACGTTAGACAGGGCCATGCAAACTTTATTGTAGACTCCCTCAGCGTCGAGCCGTAAGCCATCCAGTACTGAGAGAGCCTCTGTCGCCCAATGCACTTCGCCATTGGATAGCAAGCTGGCCTAACACTCTCTTGTTGTCTTCCGTAATGGAGTCTGTCATGTCTTCGTCGTTATCGCTAGGCTGGTGATCAAGAAGAAAAGCTACCTGCACCACGTCCCGTGGGCTCAGTATCGGCGCACTGGGACCTGAAGGTTGCATATCCCAATTAAGTGGTGTCGATCTGAGAGGTGGTTTCGGGTTTACACTGACTGCCTATTGGGAGTCAGTGGTGGTTTGATGCCTACTAGGGCTATGGTTGTTGTGGTAGGCTATCTGAAGCAGCGAAATAGCGCCGGATCTACACCACTGCCGGATCGGACTCTGCGATCGAGCTAGTGATGGAGCCGAAATCCTCAAGTCAAAGCCACACGGCCTGACTCGTTGTTTGGAATAAATGAATAGTACCGGAACATGAATCGTGATATGTTGAAATCGCTGACGTACCTCTAGACACACAGCAGCTTCTCCCATGTTCTCCAATTGTGCTTCTAGGAGGTATCGTGAACATCCGTTCTTTGGGCCCATCTCTCCGGCTTTTGTGCGAACGCTCAGTAACTGTTGGGCCACGAACTGATACAGTTTGCGGAACGTCCGAACTCTTCCTGACGCTGCCCTCCCTTCTCCTAGGGCCGTCTCCGTATATGTGACAGTGACTGCCAGGACATGATTGCCCTCTTCCTTAAGTTCAAATCTTAGGATACGTTGTAGTGATTCGGCTGGTCCTGGAGAAGCGTTTTCCACCTCTCCTTGCAAGCCAGACAGGTCCAATGGTGAGCCTGTAGGGTTCGAGGGCGTCTGCATATCACCCTGTATCCGCACACCACTAATCGCTTTTGTGTTGTCGGCTGGATCGAGCTCGTTGTTCGCGCATAGTGTACAGGAGAAGGTCTCGCCAACATAGGCGCTCCCGAATGCTTCAGGGAGATTTAGCACAGGACTCAAGACAAATTGATCGTTTGCGTCATCCGGCGTGGGATAGGCGAGTGAGGCTTTGGGAGATATGCCTAGATCTCTAGAGTTCGGGAGAGGGTGCTGCACCGCAAGGGATGGACGAGACAATCTATTAACATCGTTAGTTTGCCAGCTGTGTATTTGACCGGCAGTCGTAGTATACGATGAGGTAGACGAGCCGCTATCAACCTCCATGTAAGATGATGCAAGCATCGGTTTCGTCATGGGCCGGTGTGCCCAGGCTGTGCTGGAAAATCGACAACATACCGCAGAACCTTCAGACTGACAGAATGCGCAGTCTTGAGAGTGTCTCCCATCGCCTGCCCTCGTTGCTGAGCCATATCGACAACCGTCGTGTCGCAAGGACTTGTGACGAAAGCGGCCAGCGTGAGCGGAAGCTTGAGTGGGGCGTAAACCGCACCTGGGTCCAAGCCTTCGGACCGCGGAATTAGCGCGTTGACAAAATTTTGTGATTCGATTACCAAAAGTGATGTAGGAATCGAACTGTGTTGAGATGTTTACTTGTTTGTACACTTGAATCCAATTCCATCACTTTGCAACGTACCAGGATTTTTCTAATTATTATGGGTGTCAAGGCATCATCAGACGATATCCCGCTCCAACGATGTCCAGACATCGCTATCAAGGTTGATACACCAAAAGGTCCGTTCTCTCAGACATCGCGTTCGTTGTAAACAACTGACGTTGTATACAGGGCGTGGTGTGTTCGCTACCAGAGACATACCAGCGCGGACGATCCTAGACATATGCCCAGTATTGATTTTAGGAATAGAAGAAAACAAAAAGCACATAGAAAACACCTCGCTTTATCATTATACCTAGTATGTAATCTCCCACAGCAGGCAGTGTCTTTTCTCACAGACATACATACACTCAGTTTCCCCCAGCCTTTCTACTCATTACTACAGACAGTTGCACTAGTCGCGTCTTAACAGCATCGACATGACTAATCGATGCATCTATTGGAAATGGGATTAGAGATGTTGCAAGTATGAGAAACCTAACTCATCCCAGCAATTGGCCAATTGTAGACAACAATGGCAATAGCAAAGTCGCCCAGGCCGTCATATTCGGATTGGGAAGCATGTTCAACCACTCTACCCAAGAACAAAACGTGGGATGGATGCGTGATACTCAACGCCAAATTATTACGTACCGAGCACTGAGAGATATTCCCGCAGGAGAAGAGCTTTGTAAGTGAAAGAGCTGAAATTGATAGACGGTTGCGCTAACAAATGCAGGCATATCATACGGAAGTCATCTGACCTTCAAAGACGCAGATGCTACACCTCCAACGCCACCGGAAGACGAAATTGAACAGCTTCGAATGATTGAGCCTTATTAAGTAATCTTTGGAAGTACAGAAAGTACAGAGGTCGCAGAATCGTTTACTGCAATACAAGACGCCTACCGGAATGAGACAGAAATTTGGGGGAGATGCGGGTACTGAGTGCGGGGTTAATCATCTACGCCAACATGTACAGTGCCGATGGAAGGATGAGGACATATCATGTGCTGAGAGGCTCAGGCTTTTCTGTCGACGGTGTAACCTCAGCAGAGCTGTTGTTGTCTTCGGCGTCGTTCCTCAGGTCGTATGCGAGCTCGAAGCATTCCTCCAGAAGTTGCGTCACTCGACCTTGGCCATCAGGTATCTCGTCGCCCACCATGAACTTGCCGTCTACTCGCATGTTGTCAATGGAATTTAACTATATTTGAGTTAGCAGGCGTGACAGTGTTTCGATGACGTGGTGCACGAACCTTCATACTGTAGGGGTACAGCTCCCTTGGTGAAGATACACCTCCCAACTTCTTGACTTCAAGCAGGCATTTTCGGAGTGTAGTTAGTTGGTTGTAAATCGGCAGTAGAGCCTCAGATACAGGCTCGGATGTCAAGAGCAGTTGGTAAATGAGAGCGTAGCTCTTCCGGAGAAGGTACAACAATGTCTGTAACTTGTTAGTGGGTCCTCACATTTGGATCTACAGAAGCATACTCTCTGCTCGTAAATCTCCGATGGCCGTCCAAGCGCATCGACAAAGTTACCGTCAACTCGGGCTTCGTCTATACGATCAAGCTGTCGCTGAAAGTCCCAAAGATCCGTCTCACGAAGAGACCATGCCTGAGTTAGGGTAAGCTTTTCGAGCTTGTTTCGTATTGAAAGAAGTTTGTCATAGGTATCCTTGAAAGCGGGCGCAATACGTCCTTGCCTGTCCGTACGTTAGCTGGATTCGTGGGGATCATGAATGGTACCAACTTTTGCTTGATCAACGTAACCCATAGCAGATTGCGTCGTAGCAGGGTGCCAATGAGTGTCTTGGCGTCTGGCGCCGGCTCAGGGTGTTCGGTGGCGAGTTGCATTTTGTCGACCATTTCGGCCAGCTTCTCTTCAGTAGTTCCTTCTGTCTCATATGCACGAATGCCGTACTCTTTTAATTCCTCGTCAAGTTTGTTAAGCTCCTCTGAGTACTCCTCAACTTCATCATGTGGGAACTAGATTCCTAGTTAGCATGGGTTATGGAATCGCCATGAATTCACTGACTTTGGACCTTGCGTTGCAGCCGCAAAGTGATCTTAGTATTGAGACCAGCTTCTCCCATTTCGGTGTCAGCTCGGGTGTGAGCTCAGACAAGTTGAGCTTCAGTTCTGCTAGCGTCTCCTCGCAAACCTTGATGCGGGCGTCAAGGAGGGTAAGTAAATGAGGGCTGTACTCTTCTCGACCTCTCTCAACATATCGTCGGCAATCTTGTAGGTTCTTGTCGAGTGCTTCCAGGTCCTTTTGTGAATAGAAGGTTGCTTCTTTGAGGTGATCTAGTAAGCGCTGTTTGATGTCAGGAACGTACATAATAAGCTCCGACATACATAAATACCTTGATCGTTGAGATGTAGGAGTATCTTAACAACAGTGTCAGCTGGATCGTAGTAATACATGACATGATTGAAAACTAACACTGCTGGTGGCTCGTGGTTCTTTCCGACGGTCAAATAGGCAAGTGAAATGAGCTGAAAGCAGTCGTCAAGCATGTAATCAACTATGTGACCATATCAGTAACAGCAACCTCCATCGGGCAAGTGGCAACGTGACATACCTTTGTTCTGCTCCAGACGTTTGGTTTCGCGTATCTCGTTGAGGATCATAACCTGCTCGATGACTTGGTCGTACAATTTCAAGACATCTTGGCTCTTGACATAAGTTGACCGATCACGCTTCAATAGTTCAAGCTCCGTCCGTATAGACTGCAGCTTGTCGAGGATGGGCTGCTCTTTCGGATCCAGCGGGATCCGCGGGAGTGGGGAGTCGGTCATCGTGTGCTGCAGACGCGGATCGGCAACAGATGGGGAGATCTTTTGGTGGGGTTGAGGCTAATCCGAACGGTGGTGAAAGCTGCAACTCTGCGATATGCGAAACTTGGAAGTGGCCGGTCGGGAAGCCAAGACGCAGCTTGATAGCGGGGAAAGTGCTCGGACGTCACCGAGGGGCAACCGCGAGAATGCGCTAGCTCCCAAACCAGCTAGACATCGCTAAGCGAAAGCCACGGTTAGCGCCTTCCACACCATCAATTCAATTCACCAGCGCCGAAACTCTCAACATCTCGACTCCCGACAGTATCACGATCACAACCGTCGCAATGTCTACCTCCGAGCTCGCCACCTCTTACGCCGCTCTCATCCTCGCTGATGACGGTGTCGACATCACTGTACGACTCCCGAGGTGCCATTCGCAATCGCGGACACATTGGCTAATTTGAACAGGCCGACAAGCTTCAATCCCTCATCAAGGCCGCAAAGATCGAGGAGGTCGAGCCCATCTGGACGACCCTGTTCGCCAAGGTGCGCATACACGAACACGCTAGAATTCCGAACACGAAATTGATATGTGAATAGGCTCTTGAGGGCAAGGATGTCAAGGACCTGCTACTGAACGTCGGCTCAGGCGGCGGTGCTGCCCCCGCTGCCGGAGGCGCTGCTCCTGCCGCTGGCGGTGCTGCTGATGCCGCACCAGCTGCTGAGGAGAAGAAGGAGGAGGGTATGTTTACCACACGCTTTTTGTGCAACAAGGAACAGAGACTAACACACAACAGAGAAGGAGGAGTCGGACGAGGACATGGGCTTCGGTCTCTTCGACTAAGCGTCTCGTTTCCCTTCCTTTCTTCGACATTTGCCTTTCTCGGGGTTGCAAAACGGATTCATCAGCGGGCATATTCCCATTGCTGGGGTGGGACAGTCACGACTATTCGGTGACACGACTTGCATACGGGCCCTCCCGGAAGAACAAAGACGGCGTCATGAGATATGTTAGGTCGGCAGGTCAATGAATACTTCGAAAAGTGCAAAGAACGGACACATGATGTGATGTCGCAGAACAGAATTACTTCGGCTGCGACAACATTTCAAGAACGGTGATCCATTGGTGCATGGCCTTGGACCAGAAATATGGTGCATGTGATACGTCGACACGATTCTGTCGTCCAGATCACCCACTAACGTTTTACGACTCCGAGATGTAAGCCTAGGGTTACCCTAAACAACTTTGCTTACTGTCCTCAATGTCCTATGGTGCAAGGCCCAGCACCGCACTAGCGTGTACACATCGCCGTCCTTCTAGTTCTTTATGTCCGCTAGCCTTTACCATGACTCACCTTTTCAATTGTTTGTAACCGTCGCTATCTGCCTCAGAAACTCGAGTGATGCAACCTTGTTCCTCATGCCCATCCCAGACTTCGATGTTGCCGTACCCATCACCACCCTGCGTTTCATGCTGGATCTAAGCACCCACCAGAAAGACTTGAAGATAGTACATTCAGTAGCGTTCGATCCTGCGCCTTATGTATGTCTTCGAACTTGCACCACCTATCGAGGAGTACTTTTCGCGGCATATTGCTTTCTCTAGTGTGCTTGTACGCTCTTCTAACGCTAGACATGGACGAAAAAGGTGTCAGTGCACATGTCTTTGCACTATCTATTGTGGCACGAGAGCACCCGATGAGTGGCGTCTTAACGAAGACGAGGAATGTTGAAGTTTTCACTCCTTTAGCGCACAGGCTCGTCTCTTCTCGGTCGACAAACTGGGGATCATTGGAAGATTCGGACCAATGATGGACGCTAGTGTCCGGGTGCTAGGAGTACTTCATCTGAAGCCAACTCGTGAAGACTTGCATATTAACAATGGATATGTCGCCTAGTTGAACAGCACGAACACTCTTGTTCCGAGAAATATGAGCGAAATCGAGGGCATGCATGGTGAGCAAGAGACAGAGGGCAGTGAAAGCCCTAGTTTCCTTAGTGTTTGAGACTGATATCAAAAGTCTCCTGCGTAGGGTATGGCTTAGCTGATCAGCAATAGCACAGCAGCTTAGTATAGAGACCTATAGCTCTGCTCCAGTGCACGTCTCGGAGTATACTTGGCTGGTCATATTGATTCCACTGGCAGTAGGGCGAGATAGTGATCGTTGAAGGTACGGGAATGAGAGACCTAGTTAAAGTCGGAGGCTAGTGGTTATTCGTTCTCGAGCTAGATGTGAGAGAAGAGGCGAGGCTGGATAGATAGTGGCATGAATGTTCTGCTAGCTCTTGCTTCCTGTGTTGAGCAGAGAAGATAGTGTATTGTCGTGGTACATGGCACGATAAAGATATCTAAAGACAAAGATAGAAGCTGCGATACTTGTATCTGCAACAAATCAACCGAACAGCTTTCGTGTCTTATGGCGAAACCAAAAGAAGCTATTTACAAGTAGGGTCGCTGTGTTTGTCTTTCTGCTTGCTCACCCATCTACACTCTGAGCCCTGGGCTTGCCCAGGTGTTTTAGAAGCTATGTACTTCAAGTCTTTCCATCATCGCCCGCTCTCTTCCTCTTATTGGAGCCCGCACCATTGTCAATTTGTCACCTCTATTGCGCCTACAAAGACCCAAGGTGCACATTTGGATTCACTTGCTTCGGTAATGTTGATTTCGGAGACACTAGCAAGAATATTGCTATGATGTCAATCGGCGATGGGATCTAAGGTGTTCAGTAATAAAAAAGGGCAAGCTTTTTCGGAGCACCCTAAACACTATTCGGGGCAAGAGACAGGGGAAGGCATCTCCACTTTAGAGAGCATTGGATGTCACGCCTATACGGTAAGTCGGCGATGAAGATAGAGACTGATATCAAGACCGGATGCTGCACGTGCGTGCCATGATGATTGCTGTGCTCATTGTGACATACTCGGATCCAGGATAGTTTACATATCCGCTCCAATATAAGCAAAATATGCGCCTACTCCATGCCCCTATGCAGATACAGAGATACAAAGTACGTGAATGTCGACTCGGTCACAAGTCATTCGCGCGAAGAAGCTCCTCGTCGTAAGACATGCCGTTGATGCGCTTCTTGGTGAACTCGAATGCAGTAAAGAAAATCGCGTTGACTATGCAGGAGCGAGACATGGAAACACCAAGGCCTGAGTTAAGTTAGTATTGAATCCCAGAGAGTGTGGAAAGGTATGCTCACCTCGATACATCCGACGACTAAAGAAATGGATCTTCGGGCGCGTTGCCTTGTCCTTTCCTCCCACGAGACAGTTTCGCTGGTAGATACTCTTCGCTGTATCTATTGGAAAAATCTACCAAGGTTGTCAGTACGTCGAGAATGACCGGTGGGATTCAAAATCATACGCATGCCCAGCTGACGAGTCCACAGAGTCCGCCAGCTACAACTACAGCCAGTGGATGTGTTGGTGAGGTGCCGCGCGCATTCGCCAAGACCTGTTTCACACTTTCGTATGTTACAAAGTAGATGCCGGTGCCGATGGAATCTCGAACTATATTTCATCAGCACTTGCATGGCTTCTGTATGGTTGCGGCTCACTTACGTAGATGCAAGTGGAATCCAGAGTATAGCCCTGTCCAACCCCGATGTTTAACCAGATTTTGCGCCGTCTTCCAGGTTCCCAAATTCTGGTAGCTCTTGCGTACCGCTTCGTTCTTGCCGCCGCCGTCGTTGCGCTCAGCCATTAGTACGGAGATTTGAGCGCTCAGTTTCGTCAGTTCGAAAGGACCTGGACGAGATTAGCCAGGTACCCATGTGAAAAGCAACAGCCATCTCGTACATGCGATGACTGTGATAGCAGCGCCGGCATTGACGCCTGCCAGGCCAAAGCATGCAATGGTCGAAAACGTGGGCCATGCATCTCGGGTGTTCGCAACAACGAGCGGTGAAGTTCCGGTGGTCTGGTAAATCCAATTATCGAGCGCGTACTTGGATCGTTGGTAGATGGAGAATGACACGGTACGGACGAGGGTTATGCTTGCGAGAGGAGACCAGACACCTATGACGCGTACATTAGCATGTGATGGATGCGCAGCTGTGAAGGGCGAAGCTTACCACGGTAGAAGCCGTGGAAGCCCTCAGTCTTGTAGGTGTGGCGAACGCAGTCGGCAAAGGAGTTGAACTTGTAGCTATGCGATGTTAGCCGTGGTGTAGGCGATGTTGGGTGTCTGGCGTACGCTTGTAGTCGGGTCTTGACTGAGTCCAGAGGATACTGGAAGCTATCAGCAATCACGAGGTCGGTAATCTTGGACTGTATACAGGCCCACGTACTGCGGCAAATGTAGATAGCAGACTGCTGGAGCTTGCAGCGACCTCGGTGCGGTACTTCTTGGTCCATCGCTTTGCCTGCTCACTACGCAGGACGGCTCTTGAAACCTCGGTCAGATTTCTGGGTCTATTTGGAATGTCCTGTTGTACATTTGGCCTCCCCTCCTCCTGCTTAGGCATACTGGCTATCGCTAGCTGTGGAAGACGCTGCAGTCTTCCTACGGCAATCGCGATCGGGCCAGCAGCCGGGCAAGCTCCATGAAGGCCGCGGCGATGTCCGGCTCGACGGATGCAACGGGTGTGCGCGATTGGCGTCAAGCGTCGAGGTTTGTGGTCGAGAGCAGCTCGGGCGACAATGGCTGATGTTGGCGAATGTGTATGGATGCGGAGCGTCGTGGTGGAATGGTGGGGTTAAGCTCACGCTTTGTGCAACTCGCATCCCCGAAACAGTCTAACGGCCACGGAAGGATGAAGCCATTGGCTGCAGGGGGGCGATCGACGCAACGAGCTGCACTTGAATCTGGCTCAACGTGCCTCAATATCCCTCATCCAACACATGCGAATCGATCAGCGTCTTCACATACCAACACATGACTTTGCTCTCGAATCGTGCTTCCCGCTACTCGCCCACAGCTCGTGGTATGGCGCACCCTGGGAAGCTACCACAGCTGGATGCGGGGTTTGCTCACATGTGAAGCTTAACACCATCCATGTCTATTGCTCCGGCAAATCACAGAGCATCTATATGGCAGCTACGGCACTTGACCAGACCTGTTCCGTCATGCATCATGTATACGACGACATGCTGTGTTACCATGGCCTTCTCTGTCGCTACAGCTCCGCCTTCACTGTCCGAGGTCGAACAAACTACAGTCGAGTTCAAGCTGGCACAGAGTGCGTGTGACACGAGGCTACCGGCCGCGGACCATGGTACATGCTTTTCCAGCTTCACAACCATAGTAGATCCAAACAAGCATCGTCTTTGTGTTAACAATCTTCCGATCCAGTCCACATACTAGGCACGGCTCCGAGGAAGCGGCCTTGTTCATAGATTTGTGAATTTCGCATGATAAAATTATCTCTTGCTGAGTAACTTTTGTACCTTCCTTCAATCATACAGCGAACTGCTTTGGCATTGCCGTCACCTACAGCCTTGCCACACTTTCAGATCTCAGTCTTTCTTTCCCATAATCTTCCTCAGTTCGGCATCGTTGTCGGACCTTTCAACTGGCACCTTTTGGTTCTCGTCGACCTTTCGCTGTTTCTTCTTGCGAATGTCTCCCATGAGGGCTTCGCTGAAGGTTCCTTTATCATCGTCTAGCCTCTCTATCTGACCGTGACGCCTCATACTCTCCTTGTGCCAGCTAATCTGCCCGCCATCTGCTTCTCGGTGTCTTTTGGCGTTCAATTTCGCTGCTCGTATCGAGGTTCGGGCGTATACGAAGAGAAGACCAGCCATAGTGAGGGCTGCAAGGGGTGCCATTATGGTCTGGGAATCATTAGCTGATGTCAACACTGACAAGCTCGGAAACACATTTCGTACCCGGCCATTGATAATACCACGACCCCTCGTAAGGCGCGCTGCTGCATTTGCCGAAGTTGGCTTGGACGTCTCGCTCATGCCATCGGCAGCCTTGGGCATAGAAAGTCTGCCGCCCATGATGAAAGTAGCTAAAGTTAGGAGTGTCAATGTCGGTGGTGGGGATGGTGTGATATCTTCGGTGATTGCCGTGTTTGCTTCAGGATTCAGGATCCGGGAAAGTTTGAACTGCTATCATGTGCTGGCATGTTTCCCAACCAGCTTTTGTCAAGGCAGGCTCAATTCACTTGACTGACATACAGTTGCTTGCCTAGTCGAGTCGTGTGTCGCAGGTGGGCGCCCGGGGGGAGGTCTAGAAGCCATGAGGTAATCGACCAAGTAGCTATCACAAGCGGTTAGCGCGAAAGCACCTCCGACATGTCCGCAAACCGAGGTCGCGTCATCGCCGGCTGCTTCCCTAATCGCAAAATCTTATTTCCCATATTACCAAGCGGCATACATCGGCCATCTAGAAGGCATTGCGTGACAATTGCAGGCCCCTGTTTGACCTTCCATCGCTTCTATTCTGGAACATCTGGCTTGTACAGCAAGCAGCCTTACTGCATACTGCACCTGCACCATTGGATTACCAAATCGTCCAATCCAGTCTCTGACTGCAGTAGTAGATTTGGAAGCTAGGTGCTCTGACGTATTCTATAAGTATCTGCCGTTGTCCCGCTGCATCTTTAATGCAAAGAACAGCGACCTTTAGACTGCGAGCTCTATCAACGAGTCTTCGTACCATTACCCCTCCATCTCCAGGACAAACCTCCCTGCTCCGACCGCACTTCCGCCTTTCACAAACCGCAGTGGCATCCGCACGTTTGTCAAACCTCGCATCTCATTTCTCTACATCAGGCATCAGGATGTCGTCGCAGACCAAGGAATGCGATTACTTAGTAATCGGAATTGGTAGTGGAGGTATTGCCTCCGGCCGACGAGCTGCCAAACACGGTGCAAAAGTCATCGCGATCGAATCGTCAAGATACGGCGGTACTTGTGTGAACGTCGGCTGCGTGCCGAAGAAAGTCACCTGGAACGCGGCTGCGATTGCCGAGACCTTCAAAGACGCAAAGGCATACGGCTTCAAGGTTGGTGGGGTCCCCGACTTTGACTGGCCCTACTTCAAGAAGAAGCGCGACGACTACGTCAAGCGACTGAATGGCATCTACGAGAACAACTTGAACAAGGATGAGATTGAGCATTTGAGAGGTCGGGCCAAGTTCGTCGCTAAGGACGAGGTTGAGGTTGCGCTCCATGACGGAGGCTCGCAGCGCATCAAAGCAAAGCACATACTCATCGCAACCGGTGGAAGACCGAAGCTACCCGACATTCCTGGAAAGGAACTCTGCATTAGTAGCGATGGATTCTTCGACCTCGAGAAGCAACCCAAGAGCATCGCAACTAGCGGCGCAGGATACATTGGTGTCGAGATGACCGGCATGCTTCACGCACTCGGCTCGAAAACACACTTCTTCATCCGCGGCGACAAGCTCCTCCGAACGTTTGATCCCATGATTCAAGACACTGTAACCCAGGAGTACGAACGTCAAGGCATCAACCTATACAAGGGTACCCAGATTACCAAGGTAGAGGATATCGGCAACGGCATGAAGCGTGTGACCTACCAGAACAACGAGACAAAGAATGAATCAACCGTCGAGGTCGAAGAGGTGCTGTTCGCGACTGGCCGCGACCCCGAAATCGAGGATCTCAAGATCAAGGACTTTGGCATCAAGCTCAACGATAAAAACCATATCGTGACCGATGAGTACCAAAACACTTCCATCCCCAACATCTACGCTATCGGTGACGTCTGTGACCGTGGCTTCGAACTTACCCCAGTTGCCATCGCTGCTGGCCGACGCCTCTCAGATCGTCTATTCAACAACCAACCCAAAGCTCACCTCGAATATGAGAACATCCCCTCCGTTGTTTTCGCCCACCCAGAGATCGGATCTATCGGTCTGACTGAGCCTGAGGCCCGCGAAAAATACGGCGACAAGATCAAGATCTATAAGACTGAGTTCAAGGCCATGTACTTCGCTATGATGGACCCTGAAGAGAAGCAGCCGACAGCATACAAGATCATCTGCGCAGGTGAGAATGAAAAGGTCGTCGGTCTGCACATCCTAGGCCAAGGAAGCAGCGAGATTCTGCAAGGATTCGGTGTGGCAATCAAGATGGGTGCCACCAAGAAGGACTTCGACAGCTGTGTGGTAAGTACTCCCCCAATCTTCCTATCCCGTTTTGTCGTGCGTCCGTGGATGCATATGCGGCAGTGCTTCGGTTATCGACTGCAGCAGCTGCCACGTTTGCGGGGGAAAGGAACGGCATTCTGCGTTAGGCGTTTGATGACACGGATGCTAACATGTGCTTCCTTTCACAGGCTATCCACCCCGTGTCGGCCGAGGAACTCGTCACCATGACTTAGACCAACTGGCATCTCGTGCACTTGTCCCACTTGTGACAGTGTATAGATTAGGAGAGATAGACTATATTGGCAAAGATCAGAGAAATGGTAGTAATCGTTGTTCATGGCTGTGCATACCCATACTGATACGTATGCTTCCAAACATCTTCTTCATGTGCAAAGCTTATGCTCAACCACTTTGCCACACAATTGCAGCGCAACATGTTCTCTCAAACATTGCGATACATCCAGTCGATTTCACTCCCATCCCTCGGGGCTCAATGACCCTTCCGACAGTAACCCTGCAGCTCCAAGGTCTTGGAGTAGAGCTTATTCCCTCACCATTCCGAACAATACCCATACTCAAGGCACAAGATATCGGTACGTACCTGCACTACTAGCATGGGAAGGGTCTAACCGTCATTATCAAACTAATGCATATGTGATACGACATCTGTTAGTTTTGGGGTTTTAGCTAGAAAAACAGAGCAAAAGGGCTCTATTGCGCGTCTTCTTGGTTGCTGTAGCCGGTGGCTTTGCGACGGCTTATTTGACCGATGCCTGTTGCAATGTACATGCAGGGCATTGCAGGGTATGATTGAGTTTGGTTTAGGGTCTCGTCTCTCCCGAGGTCGCTCTTGGTATTGCGTGTACGTGGTACATGTGAGATTCCGATTCATATACCTTCGATGCTTTTTACGTGTACCTGTGTGTCTACATGTGCATGTACCCCGGACTTTGAGTATGTGTGGGTGTGTCAGAATAAGTTAAAACGAGTAAAAAGCAATGGACTGACTGTGACTACGTGTTGTCGTATCGCTTACCGAGAAATGGGAAGAAGGGATGATCATAGTCGATCATCATATCGTTTGCGTTATCCCTCGTGGTGAGGGATGAGCATGATAACAAGGTGTGATATAGGTCAGGTTCTCGCGCTCTAGTATGCGCCGTTCCTGGGAACTGGGTGTTGAATATGCTGCGTGTATTTCAACATCATTACTTCATGACCGTGATCTGCTTTGTGGAAATGGCGATAGAATGGACAAAGTAAAGGAGCATGCCACTGGCCACCTTATTGCTTGATTGGCTGCCTTTCATCATGCAAGTCTGCCAATTCTCATCACACGCTCATTTCCCATCATATTTACCGCCCACGCCGCCCTGCCTGCCCTGCCTGCCCTGCCTGCCCTGCATTGACAGGAAAGAACCAACGGGTCCTCCCCGCGTTCGCTTGGGGTATTTCGCGGGGTGGCTGCCAGTCTATCGTCTAATATGCTATGCAGTCTTCAACGTGCATTACCACCGGCACCAGCTGGACCCACATATGTAACCTATCGCAACCTGAGCTACTAACATGCCCTGCACACCCTTCTAAGCACAAAATGAATTTCGTCTTGTGATCGAGAACGAGTTTTGCTGATGTTACAACATAATCATTATTGTTGTTCGTTAATGGACCCTGCAGTAGATGTCGATATGCTGTGAAACGGAGAATCTCCATCCCACCACTTAGAGTTCAGCCGAAAACCTGGTCCCTGGCTGCTCCCTTGTGTGGCGTGAACGCCCTTCTTCATACCCATGCCGACTGGCGTTTATGGCTTCCAGAAGATCGCTGTTGGTGACGACGATGAACCACACCTAAACGTTATTTCTTTTTTAGCACGCGATTTAGGGCAACGGAGGCGCGTTCTCCGCGTTAACGTCAAGGAAAATTGAATGCTCCCCGGATTCGCTCACTGTGTCTCTCCACACTTGCGCACACACCGTTGCAAGCCACGGTGTGGAGACTCTATCGTTGCTGTGCTGTAGTGCGGCGGAGGGGGCGCCAATACAGTGATGACCTGCATCGCACTGACACCTCGTGCCTGCGCCGAGTGTCCAGAATCATGCTACGGACTGACCGCTCCGTGTTGATCAATGTTCTAGACAATTAGAAAGGAGGTGTGTTTGAATCTCATACTATTCATGTCCATCTCACCCAAGCAAGGCAGGTCCCTGATGTACCAGCGTCTGGAGTTCCCGGGGTCTCCCCCATGATACCGCCGAACCCCGGGTTATTCGTATGCGAGATATGCCGCTAATGCGCATCGAACCGGGGTCTATTTAGCGTCAACGCGAACATCAAGCCGTCGCTATGCACATTGACTCGAAGTGGTGTGCTTCCGCACCCTAGCGGCTGAGCTTCTGATAAAGGCACCGAGGCCGCTCCCCGCCATGACACAAAGCGCATTCGATACGGGCCTCCACATCGGAGCCGACCCTAGAGCTTTGGTGTGGGCGTCTAAGCAGAGCAGCGGTACCTTGTCTGTAGAGCGGTGGAACTTGTTTGACGATTGTCTGAATAGTGTGGAGCTGACGGCAATTGCTACTGCCGGCTGGTGTCTTGAGAGCGCTGGCTCATTTGCGGTCAATAATATTATACAAGTTTACATATAGCGGCCGTGACATTCGTTCACCGTAGACACGAGGCTGTGAAGCAAGCCTCTTTGTGCTCCAAGTCCTCCTGTTTTACGCCGCACTGGTTTTGGTTGAGAAACCCCTGGACCGGACCAAGCCGGTCAATGATGGGCCCTAAATGATAGCTCTCAAAGCTATTACAAAATGTACTGTGAAATGAAGACAAGTCCAAATTTAAATCCATGTGATGATCGTGGCACGTTCGTTCCGGTGCTCCGTTATGATATTGCGGGAGTGCATACTGCTGCGTCTCGAACTCGGCGAGAAAGATGAGCAATTTCAGGTACTCTGTCCACTCAAGAAGAAGTCTAGCTCGCTCGGACCGCCCCTGCTGACTTCGTTTTCGGCAAGTTGCTCGAGCAAGCTGAGGAAAGGATCCTTGCTGTCAGGATCTGTATGCACTGACGCGCCTGATGTGCTTCCAGCACCGGGGGTCGGCTGCTGGTCGTATGGCGTCGGCATACTCAGCATAGGGTCGAAATGGATCGGATGGCTGTTATCCTGGTTTTGGTTGAGATTCGCTGTCCGCGGAACTGGTGATGGCGCCAGACTCGCAAACTGCGGCAGTGGTGAAAACGAAAAGTTTGGCGAAAAAGGAAGAGCAAGTCCACCACCGTTAGCACTCGGTGGATTCAAAGAATTGCTCGGTAACGGTGGAGTATAGGGTGGCACACTGGATTCATTAGGATGCGCTCTAGTATCTCCCGGGCTTGGGTTTGATTCCGAAGTACCGGCATCGGAAGGTCTGTGAGTATGTACAGTAGGCGGATGAGTGGCTGATGTAGGTGTTGGGGGAATGGCCTGAGAATGGGCTGCAGGTTTGGAAGATGAAGTTGTGGCTCTTCGTCTCTTGTTTGGGTGACCGTTAGAGTATTGTGGTTGTTGTGAGGGCGCGGAATGCTTTTGGTAGCCTTGAGCGTTCCCAATGACGCCGCTAGTCATGTACATGTTATTGCGTTGTTCGATGTTGAAGGTTGCAAGGCTATCGAATTGTTAGCACAGTATGTGGACGCTGAGACCCGTCCGCTTACCCTTCGTGAATGGATTCGACCGCTATATCCAAAAACGTAACATGCGCTCCATCGAAGATCTGGCCAGGGTACCTGTCGAAGAAGTCTTCGAGTTGAAAAACCGGCGCATAGCGCATAGGATTGCTTGCCAATGATTGGACAAGCTCTGTGTGACATCCGTAAATAGTTTGCAGTGTGTCTCGCTGATGCTGAGCTCCAGCCCAGATGAAGCGAAGCTCGGACAGTTGCTGCATCTCACGAGACAGAAATTCTGCACTGACTGAGAAAACCTCTCCTTCTCTTCCTGGGTAGTGTGCTCCATGCACATGTATCGTGCCCGCTGTGCATATACAATAACCAACGAAGGCCGGCCAATCTATGATAGAAGAAGCCCTGCCTATTTCAACCAGTTCGGCAATGGCATTTGCATGAAGGAAGCATAGGTTGGTCGCTTCGATCTGCCAGGGTTGGTGTTGCGACGTCCCAGAAAGCTCGGCCAAGTCTACAGGGAGAAAAGGCCGATAGATGAGGCAATGTATGAGGTGGTAAATCAACTTGCTGAGAACAAGTATGGTACTGTCGGGTTGACCAAAGAGAGCCTCGATGGAGGTAAAGGTATCTTGTGTCTCCGATGCCCATATGTCGAGTTCTTGGCGGATTTTGGATAGGTTGGATAATGAGTGCCAGGGAAAGTGTGAATCACCCTTGACACCACCGGCTGCAAGGTAGCGATTTGTTATACCCAGGATGCGTGCTATGCCAATCAGCATACCCATACTTCCTTGTCCGCCTTTTCCAGTGCCGCCCATGAACTGCAAATTGCATCCGTTTGGAAAGTAGTCACCGTCTATCAGCATCGCGCCGGGGTGCAGCTGCCAGCTCGGCAATCGTAGCACAATTGATTCATCCGCAATTAACGAAGGTCGCTTGGAGCCGGTTGCAGCGAAACGGTCCATGAGGTAACACGACCAGAATAGTCGGCGTCGCCCTTCACGTTCGGCAGGTGTGACTTTCATGCCGGTTGGTAGTTCGCGATGTAGGTCGAGCGCAAACGCCATGCTGATAGCGGAATCTTGAGAACGAAGTCAGTCCTGTACTAGCTTGCGATAGCGACGAGTTCGTACTCAGCAACATAAACGTCTTCTTGCCCTTGCCTAACTGAAAGCTTGCTTGCGAAAGCAGCATCAGTGTCTGCAAGGTTTCGATAGAGGGCTCATCTATCTCAAGTTCCAGCCGAGCACGACGGGCATACTCTTGTCCGATGCGCACTGCAGAGCTGTATCCTCCGAAGTGGGGTGCATATCTGGGGTACATATATTAATTGTGTTCAGGAATACTCAGGGGTGGGCGAATCGTACCTAGCACTCACGGCGTAAATAGCATAGGCTAAGTGACCGGGAAGCTGATTGGCCTGTAGTCGCTGTCTCGTGGTCGACTCGTCCAGGATATAGTAGGGCTTTCCATGAATTCTGGCGAAATAGGTGTCTAGAAGCAGGTCGGGAGCTAGGGTAGGCGATTGTATACTAGACACTATTAGCAATGCGCCGGGCCAAGATGGTATGCTGTGAGTAAGTACCTTGGCTCAATGGGCGACATCAACTGATTCGCATGGTTGGTGGCACTCGAGCGGCGGGGCGATGGTTCGTGTGGGGATTGCGACGATGCGAGATCTTTTGGTTTGGTGTCGACGGCGGTGTTGTTGTCCTGGGAGGCGGGGTCGGTTTCGGTTGGGTCATCGCTCTTTCCTTCGGAAACCAGGCGCTTTTCCAGGCCGTCAACACGCTTCAGAAGGGCCTCGAGGACGTCTGTCTTTGGTCCTCGTTTTTTGGGAACAGCGTCTGTAGCGGGCCGTCAGCTCATGTTTGGATGCGTCTAGGGGCGTTTGAGAGTGGAGCGTACCATATATACACGGACAGTTGAACACCTGACAGGCTTCACAAGTCGGCCTTGTGCGATTGCACTTGATCTTGAAGCTTGGGTTAGTACACCAAGTGGGAGATGAGTGTAGAAACGCTACCTTTCGCTTTCGACAACTCTTGCAGTTCATGGCCTCTCGGGGCTCGTTCGAAACGCGGCGGGCGGGAAGTCGGTCGATACCGATCTGAGGTCTAGCCATTGCGGCGGCCAGTGACTGCGACACTTCGGTGGACATAGCGACGCTATAGGACGATGGACCAGAAGCATTCTCTGGCTCAAAATG